GTGTGTGTGTGTGTGTGTGTGTGTGTGTGTGTGTGTAAAAGAGCGTTGCAATTGAAAGAAAGCGAACGCGTTTTATTGTATTTCAAATGTGACACTATTTGATAACATTGCTTTGTGGATTATTAATCTTATATTTGTAAATCTCTCTATACAGTGAGAGGTATGCTCGCATACCGACCTTTCTTCTACAAACTCTCCTTATCGCTCTTTTCAAGTGGCATCGAGAAGTACTCGGAAGTTCTCGCGTTTTCTTCCGACACAAAACCCACTGACATTTCTTTTATATATCTTAATAATTTTACTATACAGTAATAACACGGTACTCTAATAACGCGTTTTCATATTACACGATTTTACGTCCCTCATATAACGCGGAAATTCCCCACTACGAAATACGAAAATGGTCGTACAACGCGTTTTTCTATAACGCGGAACCAATATACCGTGTTATAGAGGGGATTACTGTATTTTGAATTGATGTCTTGTGCCATTTCAAGATAAAACATTAGGGAAACATGCATGTCTCAAAAAGTTGCGCTGAAATAACTTAATTCCCCATTATCACTGACAAACTGTAATGTCCCATGAGAGGGAACAGCGGAGTATAGAGGGTTAATTAACCAGTTAACTATGGCGCTCAAACATGGCGGGATAACTTAGCAAAAAAATATTTGTAGTACAAATTAATTCGGTCCGTTTTCAAAAATGGCTCTAAAAGCATTAAATTTTTAAATAGTAACAGCTAATTGCCGTGGTTTTAGACAAATTGGACATCTGCCGATAACATCCAGTTTGTATTGTTTTGAGTTTCGTACAAAACGTTTCTTTTTACAGTTTTTCAAGTATTTGCGATAATCTGACAAAAAGATAATTTCAAACAAAAGTTGATCTATTTTTGATTGACTTTACATTGCAATGAAGAAAAGTTTACAAAAAATTTTTTTTAATGTTTTTTAAGGCCTCCTTTGTTTTTTTTTAAATGGCATGGTATATTGTTGATCTTACAATATTATAACTCGTATTAATACGAATTTCAACGAACTAGTACTACTCCAAAACAAAAATTTCAATTTTTTATTTTAAATGTATTATTTTTACGTTTTTCATTTATTTTGTAATATATGTTACATAAATAAAAAAATATTAGTAATAAAATTTACCTATCTTTTTGATGCAATAATTTTTCATGTGTTTTGACGAACTTAACATAATAAATTTATCAATTTCCGAATATAGCGGCTTATAAAAGGTTCTACTATCCAATACCTACACTAATCTTTATTGATATCTATGAATTTTAGTGAGACCACCAAAATTCCCGGATTGAAAGATTTAAACAAATTTGTTATGCGAACTAATACGCTGTTTCAGTCGGTACATGCGAAGGACGCATGAGTTCATCTTAAATTTTTCATATTTTTCATTTGTTTGTTTTATTCCGGCCTAGTCTTAAAATATTCTAAACATCTTTAAATTTAAGAATATGTTTCGTTTTTCACAAAAACTACAATTTAAATAACCAATGGTCACTACTTTATACGCATGACGAATGTACTCGTCATGACACAAAATCCTGCCATTTCTTCATAACGAGTATACTCGCCAAACACAGTTAACTGGTTAAGAGTTACATTTAAGAATTATTCATATAAACTTACTTTTGGTACTTGCGTCAAATCCATATTAATACCCATAACTTCAATATAATAAGTATGTCCATAAATAATCCAGCAAATACTTAGAAATCGTAATCCGTCCAAACAAGGGATACAACCTTGAGGTCTGTCGGTATTGAAAAGATTCTTGCAATTTGTATAAATGGAAAAGCTGTTTAATAAAATATATTTTTTACCTGAAAGAAAAACGTAATATTTTGCTCTCGATGGTAACAAAAAGAAGTAATGATGTAATTATTATTATTATTATTATTATTATTATTATTATTATTATTATTATTATTATTATTATTATTATTATTATTATTATTATTATTTTTTTTT